TTCAATGAAAGTTTGGGTTATTGATAGGGATAAAGATTAAATCACCATTAAATCCGGTTAATTCACTAAGGAGAACCGGGAAACTAATGGCGGCTTCCAGATCTTTCTGGTTAGATTGCGAAGAAACTTCTTTGGCAAACATAAACTGGGTTAGTTCTAGAATTTTGAATTTAGAAATTTGCTTATAAAGCAAATTTAGTTGATTTACTACTTTTTCTAAGGCTCAATCAATTTCCTTATCGGTTAGTCAGTGACCAGATCCAAATCAATTGTCAGCAGTTGCTTTTTCTTTAGAAGCCAAGGTTGGGTTGGTTGCTTTATTTGCTCTTACTTTTTGACTAGTGCTTGGTCCTGAAAAATGTGCTGGTTCTTCTTTCCCAAGTTTTCTGATTTCCAGAAGTTTGTTGAAAGTGGTTTCCAAATAGAAAGTTTCTGAGAAGTTGGAATTTTCCTTGATTTTCATGCTTCCGACAGGAAAGAGAAATTGAAAGCTTTGGTCGCGTTTGAAAATGGATAATTTTTGCTGGTAGTCTGCTCCGGAGGGCGTTTTTAAAATGGACAGGGCGATTACTTTGCTTTTGCCATATTGGATTTCTTCGGCAAAGCTAATGTTAAAACTATCTGGGTAAGCAAAAGTTTGTTTAACGGTAAAAGCAATTATTTCTTTGACTACAAAATCAGCTTCTTCTTCAGTAGATGATTCCTCATTTTGCTTAACTGTTTGGTCTTTTTCGAGCTTTTCATTTTGATCGCATAATTTTATCTCAAAACTTTTTCCTTCTCAATTTAAATGCCCATATTCGCCAGTCAATTGGGAATTTTCTCCGGTCCGAAACTCATATTTTTGGCCGGCTTGCAAAACTTCGGTTAAGTAACTTAATCTTTGTCCAAAAGTATCTTTAGGAATAGTTAAATAATGAGCTTCCTGACCTTGAAAAGTAATCGGCTCTACAAACAAAATTCGGAAAAAAGATTGGTCTTCCCATAAACGTTCAAAGGTAAATATAATTCGCTCTCCAGCGGTATTTTTGTTTATCATATATTTTATTATACGGGGTTTATTCTCGCAATTTTGTGCCTGAAAAAATTAGTTAAAATTGCTAACAAATTCCCTTGTCAATTCGTATCCAGAAATTGGCTGGAAAAATTTTTACGTTTTTTTACGAGAAAAATTAGTGAGAAATTAGGGAAGAAATACGTCATTAACAAAAGAAATTCTCTTATTCTCGGGTGTTAAGTTAGTTTAAGAAGCGAGATTTTTATAAGTTTGAGTTCTCTAAAAGAGAAAAAAGTTGTATAATATGTAGTAAATTAATAATATCAAATATTATGGTAGACGCACAAGAATGACTAGAAAATAATTATCCTGATAAGGAAACAAAAAGAATATACCTAAACCAACAATTAGAAGGAGTTTTGGATTGTAGGGAGTATAAAAGTTTACAAGAAATATTTATTTCTTCTTCCGTAGATAGTAGTAAATTTGAGATAAAAGGGGCTTTTTATAGGAAATACTGAAGAATGGATAATGAAATCAAAGAAACTGAAATAACCCCTTGCATTCCAGCCCAAGCCTATTTAGACCATAACTATCCTAAAAATGGAACTTGTGCAAGAAAGTGAGGCAGAGGAGAAAATCACTATGATTTTGGTAAAACTAGGAAAGAAATAAAAAAATTAGATATAAGCAAACAAGGTTTAGAAAGCTCCCTTGACCTCTCAGATTTTACTAATTTAGAGGAATTAAGGTGCTCTGATAATTATCTCACTAATTTAAAGTTAGATAATTGTCGAAAATTAGAGAAAATTTGATGCTATAGTAACCAACTTACTACTCTGGATTTGAGTAATTTGGAACAATTAGAGAGCCTTTATTGTTCTGATAATTGCCTCACCCAGATGCCTTATATCCCTAATCCAGAGCAATTAGTCAGTTTAACTATAAGCAACAATAATTTCCCCTCCCAAGACCTTTCTATTTTTAGTCAGTTTAGGAATTTAGAGTGGTTAGAAATTGGCAAGGATGAACGAGAAATGATTAAACAAGGCATCTATAATCGCTTTACTTTTGCCGGTAGTTTAAAATCTTTAAAAAACTTAACTAAATTAAAAGGATTAAATATTTCTAACACTGATATAAATAGTGGTGTAGAATATTTACCTGATAGTTTGGAAAGAATTTATTATAACACAAACGATAGGTCAACTTGTAAATTAGGAGAATATAAAGGACAAATAGACAAATATTTCTGAGTAGATATTCATAAAAGTTTTATTGATGGTTTTGGTAAGATATTAAAAAAATACTGACTAGCCCAAGGCTTTAGCAAAGAGAAAATTAGAAAATGAATTCAAGTTGGAGCCGAACCAAATAATGTTGAATTCGTTAACTGATTTCTCAACTTCAAAAAATTAGACTTAGAATGAGCCAAAGAGAATGAAGAAGAGTTTAAAGTTTTAAGAGATAAATATAGTGATTTTGGAACCTGTCAAAAATGTAAGCAACCTAACACTAGCCAAGCCTGATGCCAATCCTGTAATGCTAAACATTTTACCCAAGAATATTTTAAATGAACTAGTGGTAATAAAGAAATAGATATGTTCATCCATAAGTGTCAAGTTCAGGCTACTAGTTGGTGAAATGTTTTAGAATGAATTCCTTATGAAAAGTTTAAGAATATAGAACATATTGCTGATGGGGGATTTGGCAAAGTAGAAAAAGCTGAGTGGCAAGGAGGAGTAATTGAAAATTGAAGCCATGAA